TCTCTCTCTCTCTCTCTCTCTCTCTCTCTCTCTCTCTCTCTCTCTCTCTCTCTCTCTCTCTCTCGAAATAATTTTTTCAACTGAGTTATGTAATAAAAATAAAGTAGTCAGTTTTCTTCAACCAACAGCTAACATTATAATTGCTAGTCTCCAATATTTCAACGAATGCCCAGAGCATCTTCATCTCTCTTTTTGCTGTTAAGCATTATGTAAATTAAAATATATTGTGCACTGTCATCATAGTCTTGTTTTTGTCTGCACATTTGACAGCTTTGCTGCCTGTTTACAGGGACCAGGGGGATGTCCAGCCACCTCACTTCCCCACTGTGGATGCTTTCTTACAGTTCATTCAGGACCTGGGTAAGAAGGGAGCGGCCATCAGTCCCTACACAGAGGCTGACCTGCGGAGACTGCTCAACGAGTATCAGTACATGGATATGGGAGAGATTGACCCAGTGGGGGCTTTCATAAGAAGGTGAACATTTTGAAAGAATTTAATTATGTTTCTGCCATTTTGGATTAATATATGTTATGTAAACCAATATATATTTGATAATATGTCAGCATTGGTTATGGATTTTAACAAGATGTTGTCTTTAAGTTAATGGTTCTCAAAATTTTCACAGAATCTGTCATAAAAAATTAGTACTATTTGGTTACATTTAGGCAGGCCATCAGACTCGGTTTCAAAGTACAGAAGAAGGGTGGAATTGGCAGAGGAAACCAGCTAGGCTCTGGCAGAGGAAACCAGCTAGGCTCTGGCAGAGGAAACCAGCTAGGTTCTGGCAGTGGAATCCAGCTAGGTTCTGGCAGAGGAAACCAGCTAGGTTCTGGCAGAGGAAACCAGCTAGCTTCTGGCAGTGGAATCCAGCTAGGTTCTGGCAGAGGAAACCAGCTAGCTTCTGGCAGAGGAATCCAGCTAGGTTCTGGCAGAGGAAACCAAACAGGTTCTGGCAGAGGAAACCAGCTAGGTTCTGGCAGTAATAATGCAGCTGCGGTTGGTGGAACAAACAAAAGGGATGCTGCAAATTTACCTACTCCTAAGCAGAATAGAAACAGAGGCAAAAAGCAGGTAAGAATATTAATGGAGACAATCCCCCCACCCCTCTTTGGAATAATCTTTTTTTTATGGCCAGACATTTGGACTGGCAATTATGAGAAATTTGTCAAACCTAAACAAAGTTTTTTGTTAGTCTGACTGTAAATTCATATTGGCTGCCCTTTGTTTGTTTTCATTCCCTTGAAGTGACTGAACACATTTTATCATTCCCCGAATATATTATTGGTCATGAGCAACAGGTAAAACTAACAGTTTTAGCATATCTGCATAGTTACAATATGTATCACAGAGCGTTATTTTTCCAGGAGCGCCCTTGTGAACACTGTGAGGAAGCGTCGGCTGTGGAGTATTGCCCAGAGTGTGATGGAGGCACTGCCCTGTGTGGTGTCTGCTCGGACGTCTTACACAGAGGGGCAGCGAGGAGGAACCATCAGAGACAAGGTGGGTCTGTCTGTTTGAGATGTTCCTCTCTAGGGGTTTTAATGCCAAGTCCAATTATCTTTGAAAACTGTTGAATTTTTGAGTTACCTTGCTGGCTCGTGCTAGCCAGTAAAAGTTTTGCCAAATGCTGAAAATTTTTATGCCTTGAGCAGTAGAAAGAATTTATTTTTTGTCAAATTCGTAGTCACAGTTCATTTTATCAATTGCTTTGAAGTATAAGTAGAAAAAAATAAGCTATTGATAAAATGGACCATGACTCCATGAGTATGATCTAACTACACACTTAGCTATCTATCCTTTCATTCATTTCATAAATTGTTTTGATATTTTTGATATTCAAGTGGAGTAGTTTTTAATCAATGAGAAAATCAGTTATAATAGCTGTGCATGAAGAGTTATCTACCATACCTTAAGATGATGAAAATTGATTTATTTTTCTATGTTTAGACATAGACCAGGCTCCAAGACCTGCTAAGGCATATATACCTCATGTAAGTAGTTATAAAGTCTTTGTAAGCCAACGGCAGATCTGCTTGTAAAATCTCATGTGAAAGTCTTCCAGATTTATTTGGATAATTGGGCGTATCTCCCTCCTCCCCAGACAAGCTTTCTGTACTTATATATTGAAGATTTAATAAAGAAGAACATGTCACAGAAGGGAGAGAATAGAAAATTAATAGTATTATATAGTAAGATGCTTTAATCTTCACGTTCCTTTCCCAGGCATACAGGAGTCCATTTGCACTGCTGCTTGGCTTATTTAGGTGAGTATGGCAGTGCAGTGAAAGGATATTCTCTGTTTAAAATCTGTATTACTCTTGCAAATATGAAGTCAATATGTTTTATTTATTTATTTTATTTATTCTGTAATTTAATTTTGTCAGTATTGTGTCATTCGGTGGTTCAATATAATTGTCAACTTCTCTCCGTTGACCAAAATTTCCTTTAGATTTATTGTCCTTGTATGTCTCCATGCAGTTTCAGTTTTCAAACACACATATTTGTCANTTTTTTTGATAAATTGGGGTTTCTCCCCCCCCCCCAGCAACCCCCCCCCCCCCCATATGAAAATACAAGCTTTCTGTACTTATATATTGAAGATTTAATAAAGAAGAACATGTCACAGAAGGGAGAGAAAAGAAAATTAATAGGATTATTTAGTAAGATGCTTTAATCTTCACATGTTCCTTTCCCAGGCATACAGGAGTCCATTTGCACTGCTGCTTGGTTTATTTAGGTGAGTATGGCAGTTTGTTTTGAGTCCTGCAGTGAAAGGATATTCTCTGTATAAAATATGTCTTGCAAATACGAAGTCAATATGTTTTATTATTTATTTATTCTTTAATTTTTGTCAGTATTGTGTCATTCTATGAGTCAAAGTAATTGTCAGCTTCTCTCTGTTGACCAAAATTTCCTTTAGATTTATTGTCCTTGTATGTCTCCATGCAGTTTCAGTTTCCAAACACACATATTTGTCAATTTATTCAGTGTAAAATTTTACTTTATGCAGCACATTATATAAAATTATACTGCACTGTATTTATAAACACCTCAAATAATTGTATGATCCAACTACTTTGAATTGCAAATAAATGTTATTATTATTATAAGGCAGCTCAATGCCCATTGTAAATTAATATTAATAAAGAGAGAACATTTAGAACAGTATCCTTTCTTCCAGTTGTCTTCATGAGACTCCCCCCATCTTGAGTCTGACAGAAGATGAACTCAAAGCCAGGTCCCAGCAGGTCACTGACACAGATCTCTCTGATAAAACTCCAGGTTAGCAATGAATAGGGATGAAAGTGAATTCCAGAAATCCCAGTGTTATATTTTTGCCCCTGGAGACCCCCCTCCCAAACCCCCCATGACAAGTAGAATGACTTTGGTGCTCAGATTTAAGGAATTTCTTCAAAGATCTTATGGTTGCTCCAGATTTCATGTATTGCACAATATTTTTTAGTTGGGCTGTGGACTTCCAAATGTTATTGCAAATTTCATGTCAACAGTTTTTTCATTCATTTGTGAAATTTCTGACTTATACATTTGTGTACTTTAGACACTTTTAGTATTACTTTCATTATTTTGAATAATTTCATGACTTGAATGATGACAGACGCGGATCCAGAGATTTTTTCTGACAGTCTTCCCAGTTATCTTTATTGATCTTTTCTCCAACAGAAAAAAGTAGATACCCGTCAATGCAAACTTTAAAATCTGACTGTCTTCTGGAAGACCCAGAAGACGGCCTAAATTCCCCCCCTGGATGAAGCAACAAAATATATACTGATTTTATGTAATATATTTCAGGCAAGTACATGAGTGGCTTTGACAGCATAGAGAACTTGCAGACCAAAGGCTTGGTTTATAAAGAGGCTGCTGCAAACCCAACGTAAGTCAGCGTACAGTGACAGCAGGGGGCTGTCAGACATACTCAAAAACTTCTTAAGATGGAGGGACCTCCTGACTGGCAGTTTTTAAAACTTTGCTGGATGAAAAGGCTTTTTGCCAAACTGAATGTAAATTAAAAATGGTAACTCTTGAGTTTATTGTCTGACCCTTGAGGTCTGACTGACCACTAGTTTTTACTGCCCCTTGATCATTTACTTGGCCATTGCTGATAGGACTGCCAATTTCAGCTTGCGTGGGTTGAACAAGTAGCTATATATCTATGGGTTCTGGCAGATGTGAGATATAAAGAACAGGAGAGGCCAGAACTATTTTTAATTATTTACCTCCACCCCCATAGTTCTATTATTTAGATGTCATTTAGCATAGCCTGGGCCATGCATATTTCTTCCCAAACACAAATTAGGTGAAATTGTTTGCAGATGTGCTTTGAATTACATTATTCAGATACCAGTTGACAGAGGCAGGAAAAAACCTTGCCAGGAAACTGTCAAAATTCCACAATGCTGTGTTGAGATTTCTCATTCAAGCCAATGTGCCAAAGATGCCAGATTTGAGCAGGTAAGTTCACTGAAGAGAGGTACTGGACACTGTTTTAATTCTGCACTACAGACCGTAGAAAGATATTTACCTCTGCGAAGAATGTTATGTTTTTGCCTTTGTTGGTTTGATAGGTAATGTCCAAACTTGAGAATTATGAGCTAATTTTTTAATAAAATTTTCAGGACAAGTCAGAAATGGATAAACTTACTTTCAATCCTTTTTGGTGATGTTATTTTAATTGCTTGATTTATAAATATGAAGAAAATTGAGCTGCCTTGGTGAAGGTCTGCACTCTCGTCGTTGCCATATTTTGGCCTATTGACCAATAATTCAAGATCAACATCACTGTAGCTGCATCTAGGGAACTCAATCAAACAGTATATTAATAAAACATTGAGGTCTTGCCTCCAGCTTTGTCATGTTTTAATTCCAGCTGTTCCTTTAATGGACACCAGGTGGTGCTGCTAATGGACTCCCAAGAGAAGCAGCAAGACAGGCTGGTGGCACTTGCAAGACAGCACCAAATCCCAGTTCAAGTAAGGGAATTGAAATGTGGAGACTACATTTGGATAGTGGTGCCAGAATGGGCTTGTGATGGGCTGAAGTACATTGAAGTTTTACCTGACCAGGAAAAGGTAGATATTTTGCTGATGTTTGGTTACGAAAATTCAATATTTCCAGGTTATTTTCTTTTTTCCTATTTTTTGTTGTCATCTCCTTTGGTTTTGTAATGAATAACTGAAATTACCAGGAAACCTGACCAGGAAATGGTAGATATTTTGCTGATGTTTGGTTACGAAAATTCAATATTTCCAGGTTATTTTCTTTTTTCCTATTTTTTGTTGTCATCTCCTTTGGTTTTGTAATGAATAACTGAAATTAAACTTTCATGCAATTTTTAAAACAATTCATCTCCCCCTGAGAGCTATTGTTAATGCATTTGTTGGTTTGTTAGTTAACAGCCTAACTTGACAAAAAGTTATGGACACTTTTTGCCAAATTTACAGGATGGGTCAGAAATGAACTAACTTGGATTCATTTACCTTTTGGTGCTGATCCCTAATTTATTGATTTATCAATTAGTAATGAAAATTAAGTTGTCTTGGTTTAGGCCTGTGTTCTTCAATTGCTTTTCTAGTTTCTTAAAATACATACTGATTCCTGCAGGTTCTCCCTCACATAGTGGAACGCAAGACATGGGATGATTTATTGAACAGCACCCAAACTACAAGATTTAGAAATCAAGTGGAGAGCATGAAGGTAATTGTTTTTAATAGTAGAAAAAAGTTTTCTTTCCCTCTGTAATTAACATACTCAATAAGTACTAGGTTAATATTAATTTTTGTCATGCACTGACCCGTGTCATCTGTTTGGTCTGCCATGTGGCCAGGATCTTTGCGAAAGATTCTCACTTTTTGTGGGTTATGGAGTCGGACTTGTTGAAAACTTTCTGAAACAGTTGTACATGAAAAAATGGTAACAAGACACCTTTTTGCTTGAATTTTTTTACTGTAAATTCAAAATTTAATGGTACCTCTTAAAACTGTCACAGGTCCTTTGAACTGAATGAACTCAATTTTCTACCAGTCCACGAAAAATTTGTGAATCAAGACTGATTGGACTGACAATCTCAGCATGTCTGATAAGAAACCTGTAGTCTGATCAAAATAATGGATCATTCATATGAATTGAGTACAGTCATAGTCTTTGTGATGTCACCAGACAAACAAGTTACTTGGGTGTGAAAAGGACTTATTATTATTGTTTTGTTTTTTTTTAAACCAGAGAAGTGGGTTGAGGGACAAGTTTTATCTGATAGAGGGCGCTATGCATGGAATGAGAAGTAAACCAAGTATATACCAGCAGCAGGACTTGCAGGTAGGCAGACTTTCTTGAAGAAATTATATTGATATATATTAAAATGAAATAAAAGTAATCATGCAGGTGCTCAAACGTTTTTCTATCTATATTGTACACGTCATCATAGGCCTTGGTCAAGAAAGTTCAAAGAATATTTTCATATGATGTTTATTTATTGTATATTTTGGATAGAAAGATCAGAAAGTTGCTGGATCTTGTACAAAGTGCTTACAAACAAGTAAACTCCAATACAGTTAGAATTCAATATAACCGTGTTCTTTTGGTAAGAAAAGATACAATATGACTTCAAACTTGGTAAAAGCGGTAAAAAGAAAAAGGTCTGCTTTATAGGACCTCTCCCCTCCACCCCACCCATATAAAACTCTCTCTCTCTCTCTCTCTCTCTCTCTCTCTCTCACACACACACACACACACACACACACACACACATAGATTTTTGTTTACTTCATTATTCGCACAAACAATACCTATATTTCTCATTCAGGTCAAGTTGTCCAGTCTTCTTATGGAGGAGGGCTTTCTGGTCAACTACACGTCTACCTGGCTGAAAACTGCCCAGTGGTTATTCTGGTTGACGAATATGGTGACTGCTTTGTACCAGTCAGGTGAGAAAAGAGGTATACCTCTCTGCATTGTACAAAATATCCTCAAAACAGGTTTGAATATACACTTTTTCTCACTTGATTCTACTTTATGAAAAACTCAAAATGTTTGTGAAATAATAACAAAGAGCTATGCTGGGGAGAGTACAGACAAAAGAAGACAACCATTGGTGGCCAGTTCAGAAAGTCACAGTTATATTAATTGAAATTTTCATCTGAATATATAATACATTGAAAGACAAAATGAAAATCTATCAGGTATCTCTTTCCCTTCTTCCACTGAGATTGGGAGGGAACCCTGCCACGCACCCAAATATGAACATTAACTGTAACGTTGCTTTTATACATGTATATAATGAATTGTGTGCATATATTAGTCAGTGTCTAATTTTTTTATGCTCTCATTCAACAAGTTTCAGTTCAACTTTACTGATAAGTTTGGGGAGCTCTCAAGGAGGCAGCTAAGCTTAGTTGACTAGCTGCTGAGAAAAAAAAAACTGGTAGATTCTTCATAAAGCACAACTCAGTCACACTTATCACTGGAAAAAAAAGGAAAGAATTGTAGTTTCATTATTTATTTTTTTTTTTTACACTTGCAGACGTGCTCTTAATGCATATAATGATTTCAGAGCAAATAAAGCTAGTTTATCAAATGCACCCTCTTTAATTTATAAAACACAAAATAAAAAAGCTAAATAAAAAGGAAAGATATGTGATCCATACTAACAAGGAATGTAAGTTTAACTACCAAAGCCATCAGTCATTACTTTCATTTTCACCTCTGCTTCTTCTTAGCATTTCATCATTTTAAAATAGAAAAAATTAGTTTTTTTTTTTTTTGTACAATGTTGTTCTGTATTTTCTCACTCTGATAAAAGCATGAAACTTTCCCCGATGAATAACCATTNCTGAACAAACATACGCATTGGATGAATATTGGTGATTGGTTTTCCCCTTTAGGGTTTATGTACGTACATGTACTAAGTACGCTGTAGATAGATGTGGTTGGCACTTGTGGTATTGTGTGTGTATTGCTGCTGTTGCTTTTGTTACACTTTTGCACATTTTGTTTTAGCACTGCAAGAGTGTAAGTCGTGCCAAAGTGGACATATTGTATTACCAGGATAACCCACTAGCTGATGATAGGTGGGAGATATTTATTTATTTATTTACATAAGTTTATTTTTATGTATATCATCATGACATGACACTGAAAAATCACTATTTCTGGAAAAAAAAAACATTTTATGTAGATTTTTGTCGAAAGCATGTCAAAATGTGAATAAATAAAATTATTATTATTATTATTATTATTATTATTGACAGTGCAGATTTAAAGTTTATTAGTCTTCATTTCTTCCCGTCAGGTCTGTTGGACACTACAACATTCAAAATGGGTCTATACTGGAGACCACGTCGAACCCGTTCTGGGTTGCCTGTATTTATACCAAATTACGAGAAGTAGAACAACAGCGAGATCAGCAACTGACTGACAAACGTACGCAGCAGTGGACACACAAGTCTATCATCAGGAAATATACACTTATCCAAGTGTTGTTCAACTCAAACAAGTGAGGGGATTCGAAATAAGATTCTGCTTAATAAAAAACATATGATTATTAAGTACTTGGGATATTTTTAGCTGACTATGGGGGGGTCTGATTAGTAAATTCTTTACCAATCTTATTGACAGTAAGCTGGGGTAGTGCTTACACTCACAAATTGGCCAAATCTGGCTTAAATAGGCTAAACAAATGGGGTTGATTTGACTGTTTAAGTCAAATCCAAACCATTTGGAGAAAGAAAAGTGATGAAAAAGTATGAGCACATTTTTCACAATGATTATAACCCACATTACATGTCATTAAAGAAATGTACCTATATGTTACAATAACAATTTACAAGCATAACTTAAAAGTTTTCTTCTTTCTCTCTCTCTCTCTCTCTCTCTCAATAGAATTTTTTCAACTGAGTTATGTTATAAAAATAAAGTAGTCAGTTTTCTTCAACCAACAGCTAATATTATAATTGCTTGTCTCCAATATTTCAACGAATGCCCAGAGCATCTTCATCTCTCTTTATGCTGTTAAGCATTATGTAAATTAAAATATATTGTGCACTGTCTTGTTTTTGTCTGCACATTTGACAGCTTTGCTGTCTGTTTACAGGGACCAGGGGGATGTCCAGCCACCTCACTTCCCCACTGTGGATGCTTTCTTACAGTTCATTCAGGACCTGGGTAAGAAGGGAGCAGCCATCAGTCCCTACACAGAGGCCGACCTGCGGAGACTGCTCAACGAGTATCAGTACATGGATATGGGAGAGATTGACCCAGTGGGGGCTTTTATAAGAAGGTGAACATTTTGAAAGAATTTTATTATGTTTCTGCCATTTTGGATTAATATATATTATGTAAACCAATATATATTTGATAATATGTCAGCATTGGTTATAGATTTTAATAAGATGTTGTCTTAATGATTCTCAAAACTTTCACAGAATCTGTCATAAAAAATTAGTACTATTTGATTACATTTAGGCAGGCCATCAGACTAGGTTTCAAAGTACAGAAAGAGGGTGGAATTGTCAGAGGAAACCAGCTAGGTTCTGGCAGAGGAAACCAGCTAGGTTCTGGCAGAGGAAATCAGCTAGGTTCTGGCAGAGGAAACCACCTAGGTTCTGGCAGAGGAAATCAGCTAGGTTCTGGCAGAGGAAACCAGCTAGGTTCTGGCAGAGGGAACCACCTAGGTTCTGGCAGTAATAATGCAGCTGTGGTTGGTGGAACAAACAAAAGGGATGCTGCAAATTTACCTATTCCCAAGCAGAATAGAAACAGAGGCAAAAAGCAGGTAAGAATATTAATGGAGACAATCCCTACCACCCCTCTCTGAAAAAAAAAACTTTTAAAATGGCCAAACTTTTGTACTGGAAGTTATGAGAAATTTGTTAGACCTAAACGAAGCTTTTTGTCAGTCTGACTGTAAATTCAAAATGGCTCCCTTAAAATTGTTTTCATTCCCTTAAACTGACTGAACACAGATATTTTATCATTCCCTGAATATATTATTTGTCATTACTAAACTAACAGTTTCAACATATCTGCATAGTTACAATATGCCTCATGACACAGAGCGCTTTTTTTTCCAGGAGCGCCATTGTGAACACTGTGAGGAAGCGTTGGCTGTGGAGTATTGCCCAGAGTGTGATGGAGGCACTGCCCTGTGTGGTGTCTGCTCCGAGGTCTTACACAGAGGGGCAGCGAGGAGGAACCATCAGAGACAAGGTGGGTCTGTCTGTTTGAGATGTTTCTCTCTGGAGGTTTTAATGCCAAGTCCAATTAACTTTGAAAACTGTTGAATTTTTGAGTTACCTAGCTGGCTTGTGCTAGCCAGTAAAAGTTTTGCCAAATGCTGAAAATTTTAATGCCTTAAGCAGTTGAATGAATTTATTTTTTTGTCAAATTCGTAGTCACAGTTCATTTTATCAATTGCTTTGAAGTATAAGTAGAAAAAAATAAGCTATTGATAAAATGGACCATGAGTATGATCTAACTAAACACATAGCTATCTATCTTTTCATTCATTTCATAAATGTTTTTGATATTTTTAATATTCAAGTGGAGTAGTTTTTAATCAATGAGAAAATCAGTTATAATAGCTGTGCATGAAGAGTTATCTACCATACCTTAAGATGATGAGAATTGATTTATTTTTCTATGTTTAGACATAGACCAGGCTCCAAGACCTGCTAAGGCATATATACCTCATGTAAGTAGTTATAAAGTCTTTGTAAGCCAACGGCAGATCTGCTTGTAAAATCTCATGTGAAAGTCTTCCAGATTTATTTGGATAATTGGGCGTATCTCCCTCCTCCCCAGACAAGCTTTCTGTACTTATATATTGAAGATTTAATAAAGAAGAACATGTCACAGAAGGGAGAGAATAGAAAATTAATAGTATTATATAGTAAGATGCTTTAATCTTCACGTTCCTTTCCCAGGCATACAGGAGTCCATTTGCACTGCTGCTTGGCTTATTTAGGTGAGTATGGCAGTGCAGTGAAAGGATATTCTCTGTTTAAAATCTGTATTACTCTTGCAAATATGAAGTCAATATGTTTTATTTATTTATTTTATTTATTCTGTAATTTAATTTTGTCAGTATTGTGTCATTCGGTGGTTCAATATAATTGTCAACTTCTCTCCGTTGACCAAAATTTCCTTTAGATTTATTGTCCTTGTATGTCTCCATGCAGTTTCAGTTTTCAAACACACATATTTGTCAACTTATTCAGCGTAAAATTTTACTTTATTCAGCACATTATATAAAATTATACCGCACTGTATTTATAAATACCTCACATAATTTTACAATCCAACTACCTTGAGTTGCAAATAATCATTATTATTTTTATTATAAGGCAGATCAATGCCCATTGTAAATTTATTAATAAGAGGGAACATGTAGAAGAGTATCTTTTATTCCAGTTGTCTTCATGAGACTCCCCCCATCCTGAGTCTGACAGAAGATGAACTCAAAGCCAGGTCCCAGCAGGTCACAGACACAGATCTCTCTGATAAAACTCCAGGTTAGCAATGAACAGGAGATGAAAGTGAATTCCTGATATTCCAGTGTTATATTTTTGCCCCTGGAGACCCCCCTCCCAAACCCCCCATGACAAGTAGCATGACTTTGGTGCTCAGATTTAAGGACTTTCTTTACAGATCTTATGGTTGCTCCAGATTTCATGTATTGCACAATATTTTTTAGTTGGGCTGTGGACTTCCAAACGTTATTGCAAATTTCATGTCAGCATGTTTTCATTTCATTTGTGAAATTTCTGACTTATACATTTGTGTACTTTAGACACTTTTAGTATTACTTTCATTATTTTGAATAATTTCATGACTTGAATGATGACAGACGCGGATCCAGAGATTTTTTCTGACAGTCTTCCCAGTTATCTTTATTGATCTATTCTCCAACAGAAAAAAGTAGATACCCGTCAATGCAAACTTTAAAATCTGACTGTCTTCTGGAAGACCCAGAAGACGGCCTAAATTCCCCCCCTGGATGAAGCAACAAAATATATACTGATTTTATGTAATATATTTCAGGCAAGTACATGAGTGGCTTTGACAGCATAGAGAACTTGCAGACCAAAGGCTTGGTTTATAAAGAGGCCGCTGCAAACCCAACGTAAGTCAGCATACAGTGACAGCAGGGGGCTGTCAGACGTACTCAAAAACTTCTTAAGATGGAGGGACCTCCTGACTGGCAGTTTTTAAAACTTTGCTGGATGAAAAGGCTTTTTGCCAAACTGAATGTAAATTAAAAATTGGTAACTCTTGAGTTTATTGTCTGTCCCTGGAGGTCTGACTGACCACAAGTTTTTACTGTCCCTTGATCATTTACTTGGCCATTGCTGATAGGACTGCCAATTTAAGCTTGTGTGGGTTAAACAAGCAGCTATTCATCTGTGGGTTCTGACAGATGTAAGATAAAAAGAATCCAGAACTATTTTTAATTCTTTACCTCCACCCCATTTTTCTATTATTTACATGGCTTCTTGTCATTTAACATAACTAGGGCCAAGGGTTAATTTTCCGAAGCACAAATAAGGTGAAATTGTTTGCAGATATACTTTGAATTGCATTATTCAGATACCAGTTAACAGAGGCAGGAAAAAACCTCGCCAGGAAACTGTCAAAATTCCACAATGCTGTGTTGAGATTTCTCATTCAAGCCAATGTGCCAAAGATGCCAGATTTTAACAGGTAAGTTCACTGAAGAGAGATACTGGACACTGTGTTTTAATTCTGCACTGCGGACTGTAAAAAGATATTTACCTCTGCCAAAAATTATATTTTGCCTTTGTTGGTTTGACAGTTAATGTCCCAACTCAAAAATTATGAGCAAATTTTGATGAAATTTTCAGGATAAGTCAGAAGTGGATTAACTTACAATTATCATTTAATTCCTTTTTGGTTATGATCTATTAATTGCTTAATTTTAAATATGAAGAGAATTGAACTGCCTTGATGGAGATTTGCACTCTCAGTGCTTTTCTAGTTTCCATTGGAGCTATGTTGTTTAGCCTATTGGCCAACATTGTAGCTCTATCAAGGGAACTCTGTCTAACAGTATTAATAAAACAATGAGATCTTGCCTCCAGCTTTGTCATGCTTTACCTCCAGCTGTTCCTTCAATGGACACCAGGTGGTGCTGCTAATGGACTCCCAAGAGAAGCAGCAAGACAGGCTGGTGGCACTTGCAAGACAGCACCAAATCCCAGTTCAAGTAAGGGAATTGAAATGCGGAGACTACATTTGGATAGTGGTGCCAGAATGGGCTTGTGATGGTCTGAAGTACAGTGAGGTTTTACCTGAACAGGAAAAGGTAGATATTTTACTGACATTTGGTTAAGAAAATTCAATATTTACAGGTTATTTTCTTTTTTCCCTTTTTTTCTTGTCATCTCCTTTGGTTTTGTAATGAATAACTGAAAATAAACTTTCATGCAAGTTTTAAAACTGAGAGGTAATGTTTATGCATTTGTTGGTTTGTTACTTAACAGCTTAACTTGACAAAAAGTTATGGACAGATTTTGACAAATTTTCAAGATTGGTCAAAATGAGCTAACTTGAGTTCAGTTAGATCTTGGTGTTAATTCAATTTAATTAATTAATAATGAGAATTCAGGTGTCTTGGCAGAGGTCTGCATACTTTAAGTGCTTTACTCGTTTCTTAGAGTAATACTACTATTTATTCCTGCAGGTTCTCCCTCACATAGTGGAACGCAAGACATGGGATGATTTATTGAACAGCACCCAAACTACAAGATTTAGAAATCAAGTGGAGAGCATGAAGGTTAATGTTTATAATTATAGAAAAAGTTTACTTTCCCTATGTAATTACATATTCAATAGGTATTAGGTTAATATTAATTTTTGTCAGAAACTGAAAAGTGTCGTCTGTTTGGTCTGCCATGTGTCCAGGATCTTTGCGAAAGATTCTCACTTTTTGTTTGTTATGGAGTCGGACTTGTTGAAAACTTTCTGAAACAGTTGAAAATGAAATTTCTGAAACAGAGAAATGGTAACAAGACAACTTTTTGCTTTGATTTTTTTTTTTTTTTTTTTTTTTGACAGAAAATTCAGAATTTAGCAGCAGCTCTTAAAACTATTACAGTTTTAGCATTTGGCTAAATTGGTGAATGTTAGTGCTAATTTAGTAAGACTAAGTTTCAGCATGTCTTAATGTGAACCTGTAGTATAATTGAGATAAGGGATCATACACATGAACTTAGTACTGTTTTAGCAAAAAAAATTGTCTTTGTGATGTCACCAGACAACCAAATCACAAGGATGTGAAAAGGACTTATTATTGTATGTTTTTTTGTTTTGTTTTGTTTTATTTATTTATTTATTTATTTATTTTTTTATTTTGGTTCTTTTAAAACCAGAGAAGTGGATTGAGAGACAAGTTTTATCTGATAGAGGGTGCTATGCATGGAATGAGAAGTAAACCAAGTATTTACCAGCAGCAGGACTTGCAGGTAGGCAGACTATCTTGAAGAAATTAAGTAGTCTGGTAATAAAATAAAATGAAATAAAAGAAATCATGCAGGTGCTGAAACATGGTGATTCCTATCTATATTGTACATATCATAATAGACCTTGGTCAAGAGAGTTCAAAAATGTTTTCATTTGATATCTATTTAATGTACATTTTGGACAGAAAGATTATAGTAGAAAGTTGCTTACAAACAAGAAAACTTAAATGCAGTTAGGATTCAAAATAACAGTGTCCTTTTGGTCAGAAAAGATCCAATATGACTCTAGATTTGATCTAGGTTATGTGCCATATCTCAAATTGGATCAACTAAAGAGATAAAAAGGAAAAAAGTCTGCTTTATTGGACTTCTCCCTCCACCCCCACCCATATAAAACGCACTCTCTCTCTCTCTCTCTCTCTCTCTCTCTCTCTCTCTCTCTCTCTCTCACACACACACACACACACAAACACACACATAGATTTTTGTTTACTTCATTATTTGCATAAACAATTCCTATATTTCTCATTCAGAGCAAGTTGTCCAGTCTTCTAATGGAGGAGGGCTTTCTGGTCAACTACACATCCACATGGCTGAAGACTGCCCAGTGGTTGTTCTGGTTGACCAATATGGTGACCACTTTGTCCCAGACAGGTAAGACAAGAGGTATACTTATCTGCATTGCATAAAATATCCTCAAAACAAGTGCAAATATATACTTTTTCTCACTTGATTCCACTTAATGAAAGACTCAAACTATTTGGGAAATAATAACAAAGAGCTGGGCTAGGGAGAGTACAGACAAATGAAGACAACAATCGGCGGCCAGTTCAGAAAGTCACAGTTATATTTATTGAAATTTTCATCTGAATATATAATACATTGAAAGACAAAATGAAAATCTATTGGGTATCTCTTTCCCTTCTTCCACTGAGAAACATTAGGAGGAAACCCTGTCATGCTACTCAAATATAACATATATTGTGACATTGTTTTTATTAAAATTTCTGAGGAGTTCACCTCCACAGTGACTCGTAATCTAAGAAAAAAGTTACTCTATCATAATTGTTGATAATTTAGACTTGTATATAATGAATTGTGTGCATATATTAGTCGGTGTCGATTTTTTTTTTTTTTTTTTTTTTTTTGCTGTCATTCACGAAGTTTTATTTACACTTTGCTGATATTTTCAAGTTTAGGCAGCTCTCAAAGAGGCTAAGCCTAGATGACGAACTGCCAAAAAAATGGAAAGTGGCCTTATAGATTCTTCATGAAACACAACTTAATCACACTTATCACAGGACTAAAAAAGGAAAGAATTCTACTTCTATTATCTTTTTACACTTACAGACATACTCTTAATGTATCTAATGGCATATGCTAACAGAACATAAATTATAATGATTTTAGAGCAAATATAGCTATTTTGTCAAACGCACCCTCTTCAAATTTATGACACAAAAAATTAGATAGCTTA